TCGACGACCAAAATGTAGATAAGAGTTTTCACGCAAATCCCACAACAATGTGATGCTGTTAGAAATCTGAGTCGTTTTGCGTTCAGCTCCTTTCGTTTTGTTTCCGCATTAATTTGACATCGCGTGCAATTTCAAATATCCGTCACCCTATAACCTATTCGACTTGCTCTAATTATTTTAATTTCTTGAAAAGAAGATGCCAGGAGATCATACAGCGGAATAATTGAACACAAAAATATTATACTTTTACTGCAATTGTTTTATTTAAAAAAAAAAAATATTTTTTAACTTGGAATTTATTATATAGGAAATCCTTCTTCTTCTTATTTGGCGCTGTAGGCGCCTAAACGGGTTTGGCCGAGTTTAATAAAGCCCGCTAGTCCTTTCTTTTCTGTGCCAACTAACGCCAATTGGAAATGCAAAGTGAAGCCAACTTGGTATTTCTATGGGTCCTCCCTCTTCCTCTGCTGCCACCAGCGGGTACCGAGTTGAATACTTCAAGAGCTGGAGCGTCGGTGTCCATTCGAACGACATGATCAAGCCAGCGAAGCCGCTGTATTTTGATGCGCTGCACTATAATTATGTCGTTGTAAAGCTCATACAGCGTAAGTCTTCTACAAATCCTTTCTTTCGAATACTCCTCATACGCCTCATCGGATGTTTTCATTGTCCATGCCTCCGCTGGTGTATGGCGCACCAGCACAAGCATGGTGAGTGACTTATAGAAAGAACTTTACCTACTCCTGATTTGCCTGCTCAGTCCAAAGTAACATTTGTTTGCAAGAGTGATTCTGCGCTGGATTTCAATGCTGACATTATTATCGATGAGTGTCAGACCCGAATGCGCTGACTATTTTTTTGATGACAGGAGATACTTCGACTTGTCCTCTTTGACCACAGTTCTGAGGCACTAATGACCTTCTCTAACATCAGATTAAAGAAATCACATAGAAGGGAGTCAGCTTGTCTGAAACCTCGTTTGGTATCAAAAGGCTTGGAGAGCTCCTTCCCAATTATGGTGGAGCAGGTGGTATTGCTCAAGGTCATTTTACACAGCCGTATTAGCTTCTCGGGGATACCAAACTTAGATATCGCGGCATAAAGACAACTTCTTTTCGTGCTGTCGAAAGCGGGTTTGAGATCGACGAATAGATGGTGTGTGTTGATCTTATTCTTGGCACACTGATAACACCCAATCAATTCGTTGACGGTGGGCTTCAGTCGTTCACACAAAACGCTAGAAGACCTTGTTACCTATGCTTAGAAAGCTGATCCCGAGGTATTTGGCGCGAATTACTGGGTCACCTTTCTTGTAGATTGGGCAGAGCACACTTAAATTCCAGTCGTCGAGCATTTCAAGCTCTTCGCACTCACTTCTTTCGGCCTGTCTCTTCTTATTTTGGCAAGTACGTCCCGCTTCCTTCTTCAGTCCCCTATAACGGTCCCAGATGGCTCGCGTTGCACCCCATCACAGCGTGGCCCTGTAGGCGGCATCTTTTTCTCTGCAGCTTCTTAACATTCCTCATCGTTCCAGTTGTTTTTTCGGATTTGCTGAAATCCTACTACTTCTTCGGCGGTGTTAGTTAATGAGCGTGAAATGCAGCTCCACTGCTCGCGTATGTCGGCTTGTTGAAGAGTGCTCTAAGAGAGAAGGTGTGAGAGTCGAGTGGTGAATGAATTGGTCGTCTGTTGTTATTGTAGCTTTCCGACGTTAAGCTTTCCTTGCATTGTTTAGCCCACATTTTTTGCTACACAGAGGCGGGTGCGCATTTTGGCTGCAACCAGATATTGATCGAAGTCGATGTTTGGGCCTCGGAGTGTACGTACGTTTAAAACACTGGAAGCGCGCAACACTGGAAACCGCGGACTAGTGAATCAATTTTCTAGTTCCGTACTAGGTCTTTATCGCCAAAAAGGAACTAGTCCGATATGAACAGGGTACTTTTAAAATACCATTTTTTTCAGTTTTTTTCTCTAGAAATCGATATCTGAAGTGAAGAATTTAGAAATGATTCGGAACTATAGAAAAGGGGATGCAGAACGAACTAGATCTTATTTGTCGAATTTAGAACAAGTTCGGAACTATCGAAAAAGGGATGCAGCGGGGGGCTTGTTTACTTTGCATAGCTATGTGTTCGGGCTTTTTCGTTCAAATACACTTCTAGTCTGCGCTTCGCAGATGCTTTTTCATAGCTTGGTAATACAAAACTAAAATTTGTGTTAACATTTCAACATCTATGGACCGTCTGGAATCTAATAAATAACAGCGAGCACCTCTGCAAACTCAGCTACAGCAAAAGGTATGTAAACGTAGATTTCTTACAATCATTCAAACAAATTTAATTTCAAATTGAAAACACATTTCTTCCAAAATAACTTAACATCGCACACACGGAAGAACCAAAAAGACTAAAAAATCATGATACTTTTTTCTTTCGTTCGTCGATTTAAGAACTGGTTCGGAACTATAGAATTTAGGACTAGTTCGGAACTATCGAAAAAGGGACACTTCCTAGGACATCGCCATGTTAAATTCGCCAGTTGCTTGCATGCAAAAGAGATTTATCGCAAACCAGTACTGGGTCTAAATGTACTAGAAGCGCAGCAGTTCAGAACTAGAGATTTTCCCCACAGGGATACTATCGATATGTACGTATATACATTAGGGTGCCCATACATTTTTTTTTGCAATTTCAAGACCCTACTACTCCCTAATTCTCTTTTTTTATGAGAAATATCATTGCCTATTTATAAATACTAGTAGTGCCAGCTACTGTCGCCGCTGTAGCTTTTTAATAGCACTGGAGATGTTTTCTAATTTAGTACTCTGTTTAACTTATAGGGTACAAAATTACTTACCGAAAAATCTCTTGCTTTAGAACTAAACCCCGACTACAATTTTTCATATCTTCGAAGGTCTTAGGCAGGGCTTGGAATTCACCCGATACATTCCAGTTTTCCGATAAATTTCGATAATTTGATATACATATAATTAAATTAATAGATTGGCGCTAGTGTTTGGCCAAGCTTCTCCTCCGATTTGATGTTGTCACACAAAGGGGAGAGACCTACAGTTTTACGCGAACTCCGAGTGTATTTCTATTTCTATAATAAAAATGCATTTATACTTACAAATATTTCAAAATTTCCCGCTTGTAGGCATGAGTCTCCTCCTAGCTTTGGAACGTAGTACGCTGAATTAAATGAAACACTTTCGTCTTTAATTTTACATTTAAAATTTTTATTTCTTGTTTTCATTTATGGAATTTTTGCAATAAATTGACGAATATTGTTTATTTTTTTAATTATTTTACAAACTTGAAATATGTTTTTTTTTAATTATATTTTACAGTGCGCTTAAAAGCTAAAAACAAATAATTTGTCATTTACCAGTATTAAATACATTACACTTGTGATTTTTTTAGTTTTAAATAGAATTAATTATTTTTTTATTAATTTATAACTAATTAATTTTACTTTACTCTGTTAAGTGCTTTTGCTTAGTTTTGTGGGATTGCTTATTTTATTTGATGCAATTTTGCATACCAAAGTAGTTTTATGTAGGCTATTTGTTAAAAGTTGTGTGGTTTTCTAGTTTTTTCTTTGATATTTAGGATGACCTCCTTAAACTACAGTTGACCGCTTCAGTGGCAAGCTTGCAGAACCATTTTTATGCTTTATGGTGCAGTTCTCTCCGACCAACGCTGCTTTTTTCCGACTTCGTAAATGTACTGAAAATCTTCGTTATATTTTTTTTTTTGGCACACAACTTTTTGAAGTGTTTTGTTGTATACATTGATGGTTCTCGTTTGAATATGTAATTACTAGCTGCACTCATATTTCCAAACTAATTGCTGTAATTTTCATATTGCTTGGTATCAAATACCTATAAACTTAATGTCTTTAAACTAAAAGTAAATACAACGCGAAAAATGCTCATATAGCAGTATACTATACATTAAATTTGAAAAATTCTAATTATTTTTTAAAGCGTCGATTTGTGCATTCATGCAATCAAATTATCGTAGAAATCAAAATTGTCACTAATAAATTTAAAATTTTCCTTTATTGAAAAGTATGTTTTTATGTATGTATAGTAATTGCTTGAAAAGGATTTTTTGTTTGCTTTACTTTTTTTTGATGTTGAGCCGGATATACAAAACAAATTTCAAATCCGTTTAATTTAATATAATGAACATAAAAAAGTGAAAAAAAAATTTTATTCTCTGTTTGCGCATTTTCGCTGATTTATTGCATATTACACCAGATTTATCCTAAAAAAGGTATTTAGAAATGCCATCTTTGGTTTTAACTACGTTTTAATTACAATATAATTTATTAATTTCTATCGAATAGTTTAGGTTTAAATAGATATATACATATTAATTAATACAGTTAATAGTGCTGGATTTTCAATATATTTGAACCGGCCTAATTTAAATTAAAACAATTTCTAAATAATTTATCTTAGCGCAGAACCCCTTAAATAAATATTATGCATCAAACTAGATATTTTTAAAATCTAATTTTTTTATTTTTATTATTTGTCATTTTCTTCTCCTTTAATAAATATAATAGCTAACAAACACATATTATATATAATACAAATTAATTAAAAGAGCCCATATTTGTATTTTTATGTTGTATGTATGTTGTAATTTTAACACACACAATTGGCCGGTCTCGTAATTTTTTTGTTGGTTTTTTATCGTCGCTTAGTACTTAGTAGTAAACTAAATTCAATACTACAATGGTGCTAATATTATAGTTAATAGTTGTTTCATAATATTCGTTGAGAATATTTGATTTGATATTTTGTTTTTAATTTTAATTTTATTTCACACAACAATCAGTCGCTTTATCACTGGTAATCGACATTTTTGATTTTACAAAGAACTACTTTTTTACACAAACCTGCTATTTTCACATTATTCATCCGCACTAATCGCTTTTACTATTATTATTGCTCTATTTGCAGCTACTATTTGGTTCGTTCCTTTTTAATCGCGTTCTTCATATTTGCTCACAAATGAGTTGAGACCTTGTAGCTGAGAGCCGTCATAGAGCGACATCTTTAGTCGCTTGCATTTGGCGCGTCGATTCTTGAACCAAAACTGAACATTTTTACTTTCCAAGCGAGGGAACTTCTGCCTGCAAAGGTGAAAAATATGCAAACGTTTTATAAATAGGTAAGTGTTGATTCGTGAAAGTATAATAATAATAAGAAATAATGGCGGGTCGATTTTTTTGTTGTGTAAAGTCAGGACTATGAAAACTTATCGGAGATAGGGCGTTTCTGAAATAGGGCATTGTTGAAAAGCTTTCTGAGATAGGCTGCCGAGATAGGTCGATCTTCCACTGAGCCGTCGATAAACCCATACAAGCTGACTTCGAAAACGTATCTATACATTTTGACTGCATTACTTAAATGGTATCAATTTATCCTTACCATAATAAAGGAAAGCCCTATCATCCATTTTTTTCTTTTCACGGTAGTTATAAATCTTTATAAAAAAAGTTGAACTGAAGAACACTGGTTTTCAATGAACAGTGATACTAGTTTAATTATTTCGTAGTTGTTTTTAAGTTATTTTTGGTCCTTGGCGAGTCATCTACCGATTTTTGTACAAATCTGAACTTCGAAGGAAAATTTATTATAGCCTTTCTATATTAAGGAAACGATATGTATGTGTATACAAGTAAACAAAAAAAGTTCGAGGTATACCTCCGGGTATAAAGCATTTTTCCAAGGCATTTCGGTTTTTTTTTTTGGACGAACTTAGGCGACCCTTTTGTACGTATTTCGGTGACATTAAAAAAAAGGATATTTAGCTCAACTGGAATAATGGAAATTTTTAAGAGTTTATTGATGGTGAGCTTTAATTAACTAAAATTAGGGTGAGGTCAGTAAATTTTGGAACGAAAGAATTTTTATCCTCGGGACAAGAACATCGATATATCATACTTTTAGAGCAGACTTTATATGCCGAAGATCTAAAGAAAAATGTGAGAAGGCGACTCCTACGCTCGGCCAAAAAAATAAAAATTTAAGGAAAAAGATACCATACCAAAAACCTTTTATAGCATGCTTTTATACAAACTTTAAGCACTTCTTTACGGCACTACATCAATATGTTAAGTAAAAGAAACAAACTCCAAATTGATTTTAGACCCATGGTTTTTTCGGCAAATTTGCTTAAAATTACACGTAGAATCCTCCTATGCTATACGCCTATAGTCGAAAAAATTTGACCCGCCCTAATGTGCATTAGTACACATACAGGTCAAGGATAGAAGACAGATTAGGATGTTCATGGATCCAGCACTAGTTTTTCAATTGCAATGTAAAGATGACCCGCAATCCATCGGGCCATGGTGACATTCTTCAACTCTTGGCAACAAGAAACACGGTAGCATTGTTTGGATACCAGACCACTGCTAGATCTAAGGAAATGAAGTAGGCGAGGAACTGGAAGAAAAGGCTAATCGTCTGTGCCTGTGGAACCGCAACCATTTTGTGACCTCTGCTTTGGGATCTACTGGTACCGAGTGGTAAACTCAGAACGGTAGTAAGCACCGAGGAGCGGTAGGTGGTCTCGAACAGGACAAAATTTATGGCTATCCTTTCGCTTTGAGTAGATCCAACATCAAGTTGCTCACATTGTACCTAAGCGGTCACAACCAGATGGCACTGACTACGGTTGGTGAATGACGAATTTATCTTGTAGGCGAAGAGAGGTAGGACCATATTCAGCACGCATTTAATAGGTAAGAAGACAGCATCTTTTGTTTTTAAGATTATGGAATTATAGGCCGACTTTGAATAGAAGATGGTTTTGTTTTACGAGAAGATATTTCATGGTAAAAGTAGGCTCAGAGTTTTGTCGTTGTCCGCTAAGAGGCGATCGTTTTTGTGAAAAGCTTTTTTTTGGAATCTAGCCTGGATCGTACAGGGTATCAGTATGCATCTGCAACCACTCGAAAGTAAGGGAAGGAAATGGAAATTAGGGAATTGAAAATACTCCCTTTGAAATAATTTCGGTGCATTTAGCCAGTAAGTAGGTTCGAAAAATTATTTCACCAGAATTTTTAACTATCTAATTTCATATCTAATTTTATGCTGTATAATTTATCTTTTCAAATTAATGTGTTTTTGGCGATTAATCGGCAGAAATTTCAACAGAAAAAAAATGAGTTTGATCCTTTCTATATTAAGACAACGAAATGTATATATACTAATTAATTTACTCGTAAATTTCTTTGAACTTACCTGTAAGGCATTGTGTTTAGGTCTTCTGTATACTTCAGTATTAAATTGTGCGATGGATGTGTGTTCATAGCGAACCATTGCTCCAGTTTCGGCACCTCCGTGACCGGATCAATGAAGGTACGATTCCTTTTACGTCGCTCCTCATTCGACATGCTCGACAAATTCAAACCGCTCGGATTCATTAGCGCATTTGGTGGCATACCCGCGGCAGCCGCTGCAGCAGCGGCATGGTGCGCATGCGGATGATTGGCAGCCGCTTGACCGAACCCGGGTATATAATGGCTCATGTACATAAAGGACTGTGAGAACATCGAATTGGGTACCATTGAAAATGGCATATCTTTGCGTTGTGCTAAGGCATTAGCCAAGTCGGGCGATGGCGAACAGTAATCATCAAGCTGAGATGCATCATTCTCGTCGTCGTCATCATCTTCCATATCAAGATCATCATCCTCCTCTTTGGGCGAATTCATTTTGGGTGAGGAATGTGCTTGCGGTTGTGTGTTCACAGCATCATAGGACTGCTCATTGATATTATTGCTGCTGTTGTTGTTAGTGCTATCGCTAGTGGCAATGTTGATATTAGTGTTGGCATTGCTTGCATTATTGTTGTTATTATTATTATTGCTATTGTTGTGCTCTGTTTCATTTTGCTGACTAATTGTTGTATTCTCATTGGGATTGTCGCCTTGTTGGTCGCCTGTTTGTGCTTCGCTTGGTTTATCCTGCGGCTGTGTCTCCTCCTCCGTATAGCTGCGCGAGCATGCGCGTAGCGATTGATTTAGCGAACCGTTCAGCATCGATTGGCAGTCAGCTTCACTTTTCACCAAGATCTCTGCTTCAACCATATCACGAAGACTCTCCTTTTGTTCCGTATTTCCGTCAGCGCCCTCAAGCGGTGAATTGCGGTTGCGTTCGTGTGTGGTCAGCGAGAGCGGTAGTTGTGGCGAGCCTGGTCGACTATTGTCTTCATCCATGTCTTCCGAATGCTGTGACATTGTGTCCACATCTTCCGACTTCAGACTCAACGGACTCTTTAGGAAGTCATGTGACATGGCTAAATTAATGTTAGTACTATTCAATTGCTGACTGCCGCCGCTGCTGCTTGAGCTTTGACCCAGCTGTCCGTGCTGATTCAGCACAAAACCATTGAGGCCGGGATGACCCAGCGCTGCCAAACCACCTCGCATTTCGGCGCGTTTCTGAGCGGCGCGCGCATTTTTAAACCAATACACAACATTATTTACATCCAGCGGCTTGCGGCCACGACGCGATTCTAACGCATTCAATTGCACTACATACGTTTGTATTTGTTGACGTGATGGATGCGGATTTTCTTGGAACCATTTCTGTAGCTTCGGCAACTCCATCTCTGGATCAAAACTGGTGCGCATGCGTGTCTTTTGATTTGGATATTGTGAGTGTGGATGGTGATGATGATGGTGCATCGACGGATGCATGGCTGGATGTACCAGCATATTGGGATGATGTGTGGAGGCAGCACCTGGTGGACCATGATGTGTAGCATCATTCATAAGCAGTGAATCATGACTGCCACTGAGACTGGGCATATTGCCACCAGGAACATTGCCTACGCCCGAGGCAGCATGTAGGCCGGCTTGTGCAGCAGCGGCGGCAGCAGCGGCTGCTGCTACGGCCGCCGAGCCGACTTTGAAGTCCATTTCGTTGGGCACTGATGTTGGTGCAGTTAGGAACGGTAACATTTTTGGGGCAATACTTGATTGAGGCGTTAGTTGTTGCGACCACCATTGATCGAATTTGCGACGCAATTCATCGGAAATCTCACCCGAGGGAAAGGCGTACGGATTTTGGTAAGAGGTGCGGCATATTTGTGAAAGCGTCATCTGTGGATGGCAGAAAAAAGTGGATCATTTTTAAGTTAGTTTTTGGCTTATTGTTATATAAAGTTATAAGTGAAGTGTTCCGCACACGCGAAGCTTTCTTCTTTTAATTCAATAGTAAAACCGCGCCTTGAGCTCGCAAAGGTTATTACAATTTCTAAAATTTTATCCTGGTAAATGTGAAAGTTTGAGACTGAGCGGGTGAGTATGTTTGTGGCTCTTTGACGCTTAAGCGTAAGGAATTTTTTTATGAGACTTAATAGGAATATTGACTTGCTTGGATCGGAACTATTTCTTTCACATTTATTTGCCAAGAGTTCTTCCTTGGCTTGGTTCATTATACTAAAGCCAGTCTTCCGACATGAGGTACTATTCGATGCGAACTCATATGTATGTGTACATATAGAACATTTTTTGAAGAGAGTTGCCACTTTTTTAATAGTAAAAAACAACTAATTAATAGGGTTAATAAAATATTACAACAATGTGGGCGTCGACAGAAAGCGATGCAAAAACTATTTATTTTGCAAATATTTTTGAAGTGGGCTGCCACCTGTTTGTTAGAAAAGTTTCAATAACAAGTCAAATCAGTTACTTTAATACGAATATCAAATTAGAGTGTTTTAAGAAAGCTGCAGCATTTCAAGCAAATTTCTAAGAGTATTGCCACTTATTAGAAATTCAAAATAAATTTAAATGACAAATAAAATTAAATATTTTTTTAATTAAATTAAATCTATTTAATTAATAATTGAAATGAAGTAGCGAGGGAGACATAAGAAAGCTTTATTTTAAAGACATTGTTGAATATGTTTGTTGAGAAACTCGAAATCAAAATAGCTAACAAGTTAAACGAAATATTTTTATATGTGATACCCATATAACGAGTTTTAAGAATCCCTTATTTGGAAAATATTTTTAAAGAGAGCTACTGCCTGCTTAAAAGTTGAAATCCATTTAATTAACAAGTTAGTTTGAATATTTTGATCTTGGTGTCAAACGAGTAAGGTTTTATATTTTATTTATTTTTTTTTTAATTTTTGAAGACGGTTGAAACTTGATCAAAAAGCTAAAATCAATGTAGTTAATAATTTAATTTAAACTTTTTAATACACATAGGGATCAATCGAAAATAATTTAAAGGGATTTTTTATTTATATTTATTAAGAGGGTTGCCACTTGTTTTGAAATATAGAATCAATTAAGTAACACATCTAACGAGATATTTGAATAGGGCCGTCAAATCAAAGAGTGCTTAAAAGCTTTATTTCGAAGCAATTTCTGAAAAGGGTTGCCACCCGTTTAGTAATTTAATTTAAATATATTTTTTTAATATATGGGTGCCAAGGGATAGAAGTCAAAGCAAATTTTTCGTAGATTTTAAGCCCAACCAATTTTATTATAATAAAGTGCAAGTTTTAAGTAGCTAGGAATTACTGTTGATTTTTGGCAATTTTTTTTCATCAAAAAATCAACGCGATTTTTGACTAACTTCGAACTTGCATTTTTTGACTAGAATTTAATTGGCTGCAAAACTGCATACTCAAAAAAATTCTAAAAAATCTGATTAAAAAGCTGAAAGTTTTAATGAAAATTTGCTGCATTTTCGCGAGTTTTGCAAAAAGTTTAGGAATTATATTTTTATGTTTTTTGTTGTTGAATGAACCATGTTTTTATACAAAATTGGCGGAAAAATACTAGAATGAAAATTGTTGCATATGTATATGTGAAAAATTTGCTGTGCCAATACTCAGCTCCGACAGTGTAGGTATGTAAATTAACTTTTTCCGACTATGTTACATCCATATCAGTGATGGAAATGTATGTATAGTAGGTACAATTATACTTTTTTATTCCTTTCATAATTTGAAACATTTTCTTCTTATCCAAATAAATTTTCTTAGAATTTCTTTCCTGCTTGTAAATAGTTATACCAACCTAGTGCAGCCGAACCCATCAGGGCTTGCATAGCAGATTAGTTCTCTCGACCCATCTCTTCTTGGCCTTCGTCTACGTTGCAATGTCATTCGCATGTCAACAATGTCGTGCGCCCTTTGTTTATGTATGTTGTGTTAATAAGGAAGTTTTCTATGTTTGTGTTTCAGACCGAAGTCATACCGAAGAGCGTAGAGCGAAGATATAATAAGAAGGGACAAAACACGTTATAATTGTAGCGAGTGTGAGTAACAGGAGCGTGCCTCCTCTTTTGTCCAAATACGTTTTTTGATTGGATGAAAGGGGAAGGCACAACCTATTATTACCTACGTTCGTTGGTCATACCAAATTTTTCGGTATATGAAATTTCTGAGGTAAACTACTACTCATTCTGAAAAATCAAAATCGCCGCCTCCAAACCATACTATGCTAAGTCTGACTAAGTCTAAGGTATGGTTTGGAGGCGTCGAAATGATCAGAATAATTCGAAAGCATTCGATATAACAGATTGCAGTGATACTATATATAACATTTGCAGCATAAGGCCAAACTGTAATAAAGCAAGCGTGGCCTTAGTTATGTATTAAGTAAAGTTTATGCTCTTTTAGTTAAAACTTTTTATACCTTTGTAGTAAGTAAGATTTCTCTCCATAGGGGTCTATAAAATTTCGTAGGGTAAGGATTTAATTTAAGGATATATAGAGATGTGTTTTAGAGCCAATTTTCGTCATCCCTTGTCAAACTTGTTTTGAAGACAAGCCGGCTTGAACTACATATGTACATATACAATCTTCAGTGCCGTTTCTCGTTCGAGAGCAGACAAGATGAAAGTGCGTTCCAAAACACATCATACACCAACGCTATCGGAGAACTTCTTCAAAAACTGAAGCTTTTTCGCGCCTAATTTTCCAGAATGATTACACTTTGAGCAATAATGGCGCGTTATTTCTCGTTTAAGCATGTTTCACTTAAAATTATTTAACTTATAAGTGTTTAAAAACCTTTGGTAACAAGTAGTCATTATCTATCGTAACCCATGACTGTTGATGCCGAAATTTCCCAACCGTTAACTGTATATGGCTGAAGCTTTGAAGCCCATAAGTATCAGTCTAATAAATAATAACATTTTGCAATGAATTGCACTTGACTAGGAAATTTTTCCAATAACACAAGTTAATACTCTGCTTAAATCTAAGCAATGGTGCAGTGCCATCAGCTAATAGACGAACGGTTGAACAATCGCGTAAGCAATGAGCATGCACATTAGGGTGGACCTTCAATGTAGGAAGCAAATTTTTACATCAGACTTCCTAAGCCTCAACCCCTACGTCGATGCTGCTGTAGTCGAAAATGTCACATATAAATTTTGGTCAAAGTTCAGATTCCTCTATGGAGACTCAAAAAATTTAAATACATTTTTTCCCCGTCTGATACCCAAAATCTATACTACCATAGTCGAAGATATAAGATATAAATTTTGGTCCGGATCGAATTCGGTTAAGGTGTGTCGTATAGGGATCAAAGTTCAAATTACCCTATGCAGACGTCTTAACCGACTCCAATCGGAAATAAAATTTATATGTGATATCCTCGACTTTAGCAGCATCGATTTTGGGCATAGAATGAAGAAAAATATTTTTAATTTTTTTGAGTCCCTACAAGCATCAGGTCTTTGACCCCTTTGTGACACGCCTTAACCGTCTCCAATCGGTGCCAAAATTTATATGTGATATCTCTGACAGTGGTATTACCGATTGAGGGGGTGAGACCTGAAAAAATCCTTCATTTGATTTTTTAAGGACCACCCTAATGCACATACATATATTCACATAGAAGTAGTAAACCATTCCACCAATCATCCAACGATATTCAAACCTAACTAATCCTCCACTAATATCAAAACACAGTAACGGACGCATATGTACATACATACATACAGACATAGGTGTATACATATGTACGAATCCATAATGCGCTTTACCGCTGCAAACATAAATTTTCCAACCCACTTCTGTCACCTGTTAAGTGTCCACCATAAAAATCACAGCTCAATACATATTGTATACCACTCTCAACACTCGAGTGCTGTGGGATTCGTTTAGCTCGCGAATGGGTTGGTGTGATTGCAAGACGTTAAATCACTTCAAATTTGAAATTGTTATTCATTACGTTGACAGCTGATATCAGTCAAAATACTAATACGTATTGTGAGTATTTTTGATTTTTTGCTAAACTAGGTATGTACGTATGTATGTATGTACATATAAAAAAAGACCATTAATTCGTCATGCGAGTGAGTGAACGTTTTATCACCGAGATATATGTGAACATAGAATTGGTAGTTTGTGTGTTTTAATGTGGTGGCTTTTAGGTAAAGTCCGCTAAAGTAATGTGTGTATGTACTTTTTAACACAATCGCTGAAGATAGGTGTTAACTACAATATTTGTACACATAATACATACATACATACATATGTATGTACTTTATTTTTTGATCGCAAGCTAGAGGAAAGTGGTGCCTTATTTAAGCTCATAAGATATAGAAGTAGATTTATAAGCAGACATATTTACATACATAAATACATATGTCGATATTGGCTACTGTTATCAGTTAAAGAAGATACTCTAATCATTTAAGCTACGCTTGGCATTACGTAAAAAAGTTTGTAAAGAATTTTTTCACAAATGCATATATACATATGTACATAAATACTTAATACATATGTACATACATATATAGCATGTTGGTGATGTAGTGCATGACGGGTAAAATAAATATTTTGATTTAGTTGTAGGCTTAGCGGTAAAAAAAAAAACTAATACATGATAATGCAAAGTTAACCCTTACGGGTAAATAAATATACATAGGTATTAGATAGATATACATCTACGTATTTATGACAACCTATTTTCTAGGCAGTCGTTGTTTACTAATAGGGATTTTGATTTATCAACTGATACCGACTTTTTCTAAAACTATGCACATACATATATCGTGCTTGATTTACAAGGATCGCAAACCACTTTTCAGAGGACAAAACTTATACCACATGAAGTTCTGGTCTGTTGGAAATGTCTGGATAAAAGTGGCTGTGTATTATGAAATAATCGGAAATGTGCAGATGCTCGCATGCCTGGGTATATTAGGTGCTGTGGACACTGCACCTTAAGAGGTGCTGAATATGATCCTTCACTTTAAGTTACCACAAGTATTCGTAATAAGTGCAGCCGTAAAGGGTCCTTATATTAAAACGGACCGGCAACGCCCTTTTGGGGGCTTGAAAGAGGTGAGCGAACGGAACTGATTATATCACGTCATTCTGGGGCTTCCGCTTTAGAATTCTTACATGATTTCCCACAAGTGTAGAACAGGACCGAGGACTCAAAGGTGGAAAAAAGAGTCAGCGCAGTTCTCTATTCAAGTCTGACGCATGCTGTGTCTTTCAGGCGGAGTTATCCGCCATACAGATAAGGCTACATGTCTCATACAAAGCATTAAGTACCTGTCAGAGAGAGTCACTATAATGGTTGACAGCCAATCCGCATTGAACGAGTTATGATCATAGATAAAGGTGTAAAAAATAGGTCGGAAATATAGCGCATCGCCAGCATCGCTGAGTCATGTCAAAGCCATTCATTGCTGTGTTGCTGGACATAGCAATACCGATGCGAACGAAATAGCCGGTGGGCTAGCTAGACACAGTTTGGAAATGCAGACCATTAAAGCATCAAACTCCCAACTATCACCGATTTCTGAAATATGGGTCTTTATGGCCGAGGCCTTTTGCAGAAAAGGATTCAATTTGCCACTACATATATACATAAGTCAATACTAAGTTTTCAAAACATGGCGACCCAAGCACTTAGAATCAGGGACGTGAACCGGATGAAAAATTTGTTTGGTTCGCTTCAGCGGTTCGATTGGTTTTGGATTGGTTTGTCAAAGCGGTTTTTTGGTCTTTGAACCGGGGTTTCGGTTCGGTTCAACGGTTCGAAAAACAAAACAAGTTTAAGTGTCAAGTGTCAAGTGCAACAACGCGCAAGGTTAAGAGTCAAGTGTCTGTCAAATGAGATGGGTTGCCTTTACATTTGATATTGTCACATGGTAAACAAACATGATGGGTAAGAAAAAAAGTGGGTACATTTATCTATTGAAAATTGGTTGAAACGAACCTTTCAGTCTTTATAGAAAGTGATTCGGTTTTCGGTTCGGATCAAACATTTGTGGAAAATTTCGGTTCGGTTAACGGTTCAGTATAGTTAATAGAAAAGAGCGGTTTTCCGGTTCAAAACCGGTTCGGTTCAAAACCGGTTCACGTCCCTGCTTAGAATCAATCAGGCTTTCTCACCAGCTTGGTAAATATAACGGAAGTGAAAATGTCTGACCTCTATATTTTCATTCGGGGTAGTAAATGGTTTAACAGACACTATAAGAACACTTTCGAATAACCCCGTTTAGAGGGAACGATATATAATTTTTTTAAATTTCTTTTCAGACAATTGGTATAACAGGCTTTGGCAAACATAGTTGTGAAGCGATACTCAGTTAAACAACGCGTGAAAGTGTTTCAAAGATTTCCAGAATATCAGAGTTCTGCAAGAAGTGCATTTCGCGCATTACTATAAGGCAAAATATCACCTAAACGGAACAAAAAAAAAAAACGAAACTGCCGCATTTGGGGTACCGGAAATCCACATGTCATATATGAAAAACTTATGTAGCCACGAACCACTGTATGGTGTGGTTTTTGAGCTGGCGGATTTACCGTCAGATGACATGAACTTGGACAATTTGTTGATTTTTCAGGACGCTGCTACTTGCTACACAGCGCATGAAACAACGGCCAACGAACGAAGTTCCCAGGATTCATAATCTCACGGAACAATGAGGTCAAATGGCGGCCGGAATCTTTGGATTTGACACCGCTGCACTTCTTTCCCTGGAATTAGGTGAAGAGTATGGTCTATGCCAATAAGCCCAAGATGATTCCAGAGCTGAAGAACGAAATCATTTGCATTATAAATGATATACTCATCGCACTATGTTCAAAGCCATGGAAGAGCTTGATATACGGCATCATGTGCTGCCAAAGCAATCGTAGTGGGCTAATATACATCGTCATCGGTATAAAAATTGTTAATTAATCGAACAAGGTGAGGTAAGAATGGTTTTGCAAAGCTTCATTTCATTGGTATGTTTTCATACACAACAGAAAAAGATTAAGGTCTAAATTGTAAAAAATTGCAGATAATTTCCTTTTAACACATAATAAATTAACCACAAACATATGATTGTACAATAAATGTATGTGCATATTTTTCCAGCAAATATGCGTAATTTAATAAATTATCTAAAGCGTCGAAATTCGCTTGATTCGTCATACATTAACCCCATAATCGCAAATATTTGTAATGAGCTAAATGCAATAATGAGTCAAATGTTTGTTTAAATGCCAAGAAAGAGCGATATCGTCACATAAGCTAATAGGAAAAATATTCACAAGAAAAATATGCTCCGACAAATAGCTTATTAACAGCAAACAATTAAAAAGAGATACTTCTCAGTAAATTCAAAATTTCGGGACTTTTTTTTCGAGATTTGCGAATATCATGACGAAATAAAAAATTAGGTGTCTTCTTTTTTTGACAAAGAATGTAAAAAAAATCAATTTCACCCCAAAAAAAATATTGAGGTGTAAATATTATATGGAATGACCCATATGGTATATGGGGTATGGAAAAAGGGATATTTCCTGCAGTAAACGTTTTAGTGTGGGCAACAACGATATTTTTTAAATAAGGCAGATCAGAATATGCGCTCTCTGGGAAGACAACACCTGTAATTATTGTACCATGGTTTCAAACCCATTTATTTATTATTTATTTCATGGCAGGAGAGCTTCGCAAACAATATAGAAGCAATTTTTTCGATTCAAGTTGTTGATAAGTAATGAATATCTAAATCCGATCATACTTTGAATTGCCATGAAAATAAAACTTAAGAAAGTTTTATTACATAGCAGATGGGAAGTGCATGTGCAAAAATTCCATAATATGAAAATCCATATAAATGAAATTTTTGCACATACAGCAGTACATAGCATGCATTTAAGCGCCCGGTGTTAGCAGTCGCGTCTAAACAATTATAAAAAAAAAAAAACTAAACTATACTTATGTACATATATACATTTTTGCGTTTTTCGTTGGATTGAGTTTTTGATAGTCTATAAATATAACGAAACTACAGATATAACGAAGCTTTTGTCCCATCCCTTCAAGTTCGTTACATCGAGGATTCACATTATTAGGCATTGCTTTGAGGTATCTAATCGTAGGCAGAGGACGTTATCACCAGGATGTACATACATAAATATGCGCCACTACGATGAAAGGTACTACGGTTGCTACATTTCAGTCACCAACCCCAATCGAGTTAAGAACAGATTAGCCATTAAATAAAAGCATGCATGAGTTATCAAAAGTTTTTGGTTGTGTAGTGAACTTTTCTCATTGCATACATATGTAAATAACGTCGAGGGCGGGGCTTTTTATACTTTTATGCAAAATGTTATTCGACAATAAACCGATTAGTGTCACGAAATACTCATTTCATTAGTTTTGTGCTAACGCTAAACCGATTTTGTAGCACTTTTCTTAAGTTCAAAGTGAATACAAAAAGAGAAGCACTAATTAACGTTTTTGATTATATTTAAGCTTTCAAATTTTTCTAATTGGTAGTGTTCTAATTGGTAGTGTGTGGTGTTGCTTTGGGGATCGTGCCATCTTTGGAAGAATTAGTTAATTATGCATGTACATATCGTCGTTTAAAGTACAAAACCGCATATCGTCATTTTGCAAAACCGCGTAACTGACATTGGTTGCCAAAAATTGGATTTGCTCACACAAGCTTTTGGCACAATCCTTGTCCATTCGTCCTGAAATATACTAGGCAAATATGCGATTGCTTTACAAAATAGAGAACCATTTTAAAAAATGAGTATTTTACGCTCTAGAAAATAATTTCTACAACTTCACATACACGGTTTTGCATTTTGTTGATACGCGGTTTTGCACTTGAAACGACGATATAATATCTATGTATGTGCATAAGCGTGGTTCAAAAACACATGCGGGGGAACAAAAGTTCAAAGTATAATGAAATGGAAAAATACCCGTATTTTTTGTTTAAAAAAATTTATTTATAACTGTTTGAAAGCCAATAATGTTTTCCGTGTATTTTGTATGGGGAAAACCATTTTTCGTAGAAGTGGTATAGAATTGTTGAAAATCAATATTTTTTAATAATTGCTATTTTTAAAACCCCAAAAATACAATGGGGTACCCATAAAAAATCGTTCGTCTTGAAAAATGGTATAATGAACAAATTATTGCAAGTCTCCTGAAGAGAAGCAAAGTATTCCGATAGAAAAACGAAAAGTTTTTTTCTCCATATAAAATACATGGAAATTTTTTGATTTTAAAATAAAAAAATAAGGGTATATTTTTCGGTATAGAACAATCCTAGGGGGTGAGAGCATATAAATTCCGACTTTACTTTTTCACATGCATTTTTGGACCACCATAATGTACATACAGACATAGATATTTTTAAAATTCAAATTTGTAGACTTACGACCTTATTCATAAGAAATAAAGTAGCATTAAAAAAGGTTTATAAACTAAAAAATGTATGAAAACGTCATTTTATAAAGCTCTTTAAACATACTTTATTTTTTATGAATAAATCCATTATTATATTAACAACTAGATATTATAAAAACCCTAACACTCACCTCATCGAGTGGACAACCCGTGGAACGTAATACAGTATGCGATTGTAAAACGAGCAATTTCAACAATTTGTCCTTGATTTCGCCGAACGTCGATGGCTTGGACCGCAATATAACAATACGCAGTGTGACCACTGAGGTCAATTCGCCGATTATATCACTTATGGGTACGACTGGATTATCGGAGATCATTTCAAGCGGTATGGGTTTCCAGTTTTTAATCATAATCGAACCTAGGAAAAAACAGAAGAGAAGACTAATCAAACAAATTATATACAACTTCATTCTTCACAATTTATTTTTCGATTCATTTCTCCGCTATCTTCTAAAATTTGCTTAGTATGGAGTATACTAAGCATTACACCAGCTATTTTAACTATCCGACCTCTCCTCTCATCACTTCACTTACCTCTTGCTGTATTGACCGCCTCTTGAGAGTAGCCAAGTCGCTGCAGCGCTGTTTGCACCAATTCCGACCATGGCGTTGATGCGGCCATAATCACATAACTGTCTGTCTCGATATTCGTGCGTCGCTTCCATGGACTACGTGAGTCGATGGCGAGTGAGGCCTGCAATGAATGCACCGATTCGACGACACAATGCAACGGTAGCGATTTTGCTGCAAGTAGAGTAATGAAAATAGGCAAAAATGTATTAGAGTAGAGAAAGCAGCAGTTGGAAATGTGTTGATTAAATTTTCTTACAAAAGAGGCATGTAAATAATTTAATGAAAAATCAATATAAAATATAATATAAATAAAAATTGTCTTACGAATAGTTGAGCTCGTTTCGTCTTGGATTTTTCTTAACAAAAAACTGATTTGTAATCCCATGATACTGTGCCTGAGCTCTGTGTCGACTGACATGATGAGCAAGAGCTTATTGCGATAGTTACAAAAATTACATACAAATGTACTTACATATTTATACAGACACTTGATAATTCAGTAGATAATGCTTTCAACAGCTTATTAATAATACAAAGTTCTTTTTGAGTATCTTAAAACAATTTAAGTTCATCTGATTAAGGTAGTATTTTAGTAGAAATTTTTTGGTTGTTTTTAATTCTTTAAAAAAATGTTTTTTATTTATAAACAACATGTCGTTATACGCAGTTTATAGGAGTCAAATAATAAACTAACAAAAAAAAACAGTGATACATTCATTCATTCAAAATCGGTGTGCATTACGGGTGAAATCATAATTAAAAATAGAAGCCAGTTTCACTCAATGATTTTTGCCGGCATATTAGCCAACTGAATTTTACTGGAATTATGGCATTTCTATCAAAATTAAGCTTAAGACCCATTAAAAATAATAGAAACTCCCCTACCGAAATACCATCATTTATATTTTGTCATTAGCAGTGTGGCAACGCCACTTGTAAAATATTCATTTTTTTATTTCAAAAAGTCATTTAGCTGCGTTGGTACGCTTGATAATTTTTGTAATACAATTCCGTTAAGCATAGGGGGCCAACTTTTTTTTCGTCCGAACACTTTTTCTTATTTCAGGGCGGTCGAATCTGAAACCTTGTAAATTTTTTTTTTTTTAATTTCTGCATGTTTTTTTTCTATAGTTACCAAACCACTTGTGTGATTTATAACTATGAAGGCAAAACACTTTTGTTGGAGTCTCTTTTACAAACCTCTCTCAGATATAAAACCGATAGGATGACAAATACAACTTTTCGATGCACATATTTAATGTAAAGCGTCGCCAGTATGGGTTTTTTCATATTTTCACCGATATCTCAGAACCTGGTTCTGACCCAGAGAAATCATTATCATATTCGGAATCATGATAACATTTTACGTTAGAAACCTTTTATGCCATTCTCTGTGGTGAAAAATTGTTGAGTAGTGTAATTTGTTGAATTTTAGGAAAAACCAAATAATTTAAATTGGATATTTTATGGTAATTTTTCTTTATATGAGACTTAAAATTAATAGAATTAAGTGAGAGAAACTCATGCTTTTTTGTTTGGCTGGAGGAAAGTGTTTAAAATGCCTTCGCACTATATAAGAACCGTCACTCCTATGCGAGTGGTGTAGCAACTAAAACTATCCCTCCTCCTACCCTGGATACTCCTCTACCCTGGAACTAATTTCGCCTTTCTTCAAGGTAGAGAATCCAGGTTCGATCCTACTTCGGTCAATTTCAACTCTCCCTGCGTCCAGGGCTCCGAGGTTTGAAGCAGTTGCTGACGTAAATCTTCCTGCAGTAAATTTATATAGTATAACCAACAGTTATTTAAATTTTTGAGAATGACCTTATTTACGTGGATCAATGTCTCTAAAATTTCCTGGTCATTACAATCGAACTAAAGAAAGAGAAATAATGCAACCCTGACACGACTCATCTTCTACACTTCTAAATATATATCATCAGAAAATATTGAAAATTCGCTTCAGATAATACGCTTTTTAAAATACATTTATGCAAGCTTTATGTACAGTATGTCATAAATAAATAAACTTTTTGAAGTTTATATTCAACAATTTTTTAGTGGGCTCGAGGCCGTTTTTTAATGAAACCTTATTGTGGAAAAGCAACAATGATTTTAAAGTTTCATAAATTGCATTTTATTTACACAAAATTTACAAAGAATTCAAATATTTTCAACCGACTTCAAAAAAAGGGAGGTTATCAATTCAAAAATTACAAAAAATCTAAGCCAGTAAAAAATCTATTAAAAATTAAAATAAATTTTTCCCGTTAAATCTTGGTTTTACTATAATCAATTTTAATAGGCTATAAAGCTGCACATATTTTCAATGTACTGGTTTATTATGTTTTACATTCAAAAATCTGTTACAAACATTAACAAACACAACTAATAGTAACTCCAACATAACATGTTACATGTTAGATATGTATCTATGTATATGTATTACAATTATCATTACTCCATGCCATATTTGCCATATTACATAATAAGGTTAGCTCTCCTAAAGATATCGATTTCTTCCGCTAATACAAATCCCACTGATATACTTTTTCAAAAAAATATTAATTTCCTTTAATAGAATTTCCATCTATCATCTTAACGCTGCTTAGCGGTAATCTCTCACCACCCACACAGCCTTAATGACCTTATCAGCGATGAAAAGTTGCTCACGCATAAATAAATCCTGTGACAACTGTTACTGGGGCTGTGTGCTCTCTGGAGCAATCAAAGAATATACAGGGAAAAAGTAAACAAAAAAGAAAAAGAAATAAAAACAAATCGAAGTAAAAAACGTAATGTAAAGTTATCGGCAGCGTTTTATACCGTTAAAGCTAAAGCCACTGCGTCTTCTTTCCGGCACGCAAATACGCGCACAAATCAATTGGCAACTGTTGGTGATAAACCGAAGTTAAACCACCCTCTCTCAATAACTGACAGCAGTACGCGTGGCAGCCAGTGTCGCATTGGCTTATGCGGATAGTAAATATGTTTGCTAGTTGTATGAATTTCACTTCGAATTGTCTTGAGCTTCAATAGCGACGTACGCAGGTGGGTGGTGGGCCTCATTTATTGCGGCTTTTAATTTTTTTCTGTTGTATTTTTTTTTTTGCTTTATCTATTCTTCTGTGGCAACAGCTTCATTATTTTCATATTACTACGCGCTGCATGCTTGTAAATCCTGGTGATGCCGACTGCGGTGTCGTATTTGGAGTTCTACTTTGCTAAATCCGCAGCCACTTAATATTTACTGATGGCTGGCTGTTAGAGGCGAGTAAGGAGTGCTGTTTAGTTTCTTTCTGAGGTTAACTGTGTTTTTTTTTCTTTTGGAAAGCAACAAATTACAAAGTTGATATGATCTGGTGGCAGACTTGCCGGCAGACAACTGATAGCCTTAATTTGAACTGCGAAAATTATTTTGTAAGACGAAGTGGATATACACAATGGTATTTTGTGCCTCCCCTCTGAAGAGTTATCGCATATATGCACATTCAAACTTACATACCTACATGTGTACATTAGGGTGGTAAAAAAAAAAAGTAAAGACGGAATTCTAGTGCTCGCCCCGTAGGCAGTTCTATACAGAAATAAAATTATAGTTTAAAAAACCAAAACCTCCTTATTATAATTGCCATTCATACTATCATCAGGTATGTAACTTGAGAATAGAAATCGCTGCATCTTTTAGGCGCATCAATATTACATAGTTACATCCCGAGCTAATAAAAGGGAGGTAATAAAAATGTACCCCTTATTTATTTTCAATTAAAAAAAACGTGGAGGTCGCTCAAAGCGCTCAAAGTTTTTCATGTATTTGATATGGGGAAAAAAAACTTTTCCTAGAAACGGTATTGAATTTTTAAAAATTAATACTTTTCGATCGGAAAACAGTGTTTACCTCCAGGAGACTTCCAATAATACTAATACCCTATGGTTTATTTAACCATTTTTTAATAGTTACTATTTTTTATAGGTCCTCCAAAACAATTGGGTATTATTATTGAAAGTCTACTGTAAACTAAGTTTTCCTATCGAAAAATATTGACTTTAAAGAATTATGTGCCACCCTCCGAAACGATTTTGCACTTATGATTAATTATGATTATGATTAATTAAGCGTTTTCGGAAGAGACAAAAAAAAATAAGATACCCTGCTTTGGAACTAAATTGTGCCTACAATTTTGTATGTCTTTGAAGGTCTGGGGAGTACCTTGGCAGGACTTGGAGTTAACGCTTACATTCCAGTTTGTCGATAAATTTCTCTAATTTGATACATATCGATTATTCAATGAATTTCAAAAACACTAAAATCCGATAACTCAACAAAATTCGATAACGCGGCCAATTTCGATAAATATTGATAACTCTGCATTTTGAGGGCTCAATAAATTTCGATAACTCAATGTATCTCGATAAACATTAGTAACTCGATAAACTTTCAATGCGTCTATAAGTTTCGATAACTTGAATAATTTTGATAGCTCGATATTTTTCGATATCTGTCGACAAATTTCGATAACTCGTTAAACTCCGATAACACGATTGCATTCGATAAGCAGTGATAACTCGATAAACTTAAAATTCAAAAAACTTCGATTCGATAAGTCCACAAATTTCAGTAAATCAATAAATATCGTTAACTGGATAAGTTTAAAAAACGCGATGCATTATGATATCTCGATAAATTTCGTTAAATCTATAAATAATTATAGCTCTATAAATATCGATAACTTGATAAATTTTATTAACTTGAAAAATTTCGATGTCTCTAAAAATTTGTATAGCTCCGTAATTATTTGTAAATTTGCACAACAAATTTTGTGTCTATAAATTTCGACAATGCAAAAAAAATTATTAATTTGAATAATTTGTTAGCGATGATTCGATAAATTGCGGTGACTTGGTAACTTTCGATAACTAAATTTTTAATGACTGAATTAATTTCGATTCTTATCGAAAAATTTCAATAAATTTTCTTACCCTTTCAGTTAACCTACTTCTTACCCTCTTTATCTTAATCGTTATCATTTAGTTCTTCATCATTACATATATCTGTATTAAAAAGCTTAATTTCAAATAAGAAGTAAAAAAAAATACGAAAACAACACAAATTGAACAGGTTGCAATAACTATACTTACCCAAATGCGGAAATTTTAAAATGACGATTTTC